TCCGGGCCCGCCGCTGGGGGTGACAGACTGCGCTGGGATCGCGTGTAATTCCCTGGTCCGGAAGGGTTTGGTTGGGTCGGAAAGGTTTGCTGGGCCTCTTTAGTCTGCAGGAGAGAAGACTGCGAGGAGATTTTATTAATGTCTGTAAATATCTCAGAGGCGGGTGCCAGACTCTTTTCATTGGCGCTCAGTAACGCGGCAAGGAGCAATGGCCATAACTAAAACACAAGAAGTTCTGCCTCAAGACGAGGATGAACTTCTATAATTTGAGGGTGACAGAGTGCTGGAACAGCTGCCCAGAGAGGTCACGGAGTCTCCTTCTCCTCTCACATTCAGAAACAGCCTGGATGTGTTCCTGTGTCATCTCCTGCAGGTGATCCTGCCTTGGCAGAGAGGTTTGACTGGATGATCTCCAGAGATCCATTCCAGCTGTAATAATTCTGTCATTCTGTGATTTTAGAAATGTTCTTCCTTATTTCAGAAAAGCCCTTTCTTTTCTGTCAGCTGCCCACTTGTCTTTGAGACTTGACACAGAAAATAAAGTGTCCTTCTACAGGAGTTTAGATTATGAAAGTGTTTCTAATGTTTTACAGAGCAGCAAACTTCTGTAGGGTTGCTTTAATGAGTAAATTAAAGAGATGTTCTATTTCTCTCCTGTTTTAGGATGAAATCCTTTTTCCCAGGCTCAACAGTTATCTTTATTTCTAAGAAACCCAGTATGGGTTTGAGAACAGTGTCTCCTAGGAAGATTTTGATAGCCCTCGTGTATTGTGTCATTGTAGAATCCTAATAAGTGAGAGTAAAGGTGCCAAGCATGCAACAGTTTCCAAGTGCAGATTTATTAGCACCTCATACCTGTTCCACTTTTCTTTCCAGCAGTCATGGTGAATTTCGCCCAAGCTGTGCGTGAACACTGGGTTCACATCCTTGTTCCCTTAGGATTTGTGATTGGATGCTATTTGGACAGATGGAATGATGAAAGATTGTCTGCCTTCAGAAACAAGAGCTGCTTATATAGAAGGTCTATTTTATGATGCTTCTTATATACATATATAGTTATTTTTCAAAGTGTTTCTCAGTTCTTTTTTAGTTATGAGTGTAACCAAAAAAAGGGAAGAAAGGCCTAAAAATATCAAGCATTCATTAAGTGTTTTAGGTCAGTAATAACTTCTGAAAATGTATCTTTAGGAGCTACCTTCATGAAAGAAAGGATCATTAACTACTGTTAATGACTGTAAAGTTCTTGGTCATGAGATATGGAAACCATTATTTTGACTTTATAACTTCAGCAAGAAACACAGTGCTTGAGTTTTAATTTTCTCTCTTAAATTTAAAATTATCACAGCACTTTTCAACCAAATACTTTTATAATAGTGTGTTACTTCAAAATAATCACAAAGTTCTTGAAAATTAACATACATGCTGCTGTATCTTCACTGAATTATGTGATTTTATGCACTGATCAGTTTGGGTTTTCTGGCTGTGACTCCTCAGGGAGCATTTCCATCAGAAAACTTCAGACACTGACTCATCTGTGTCAGTTTAATTCTGTATTAGATTATCAGGTAACAAAAGAAGAGGGGAGAAAAGTCATATTGCATAAACTGATAGTAGTGCTATCCGTTTGTGTGCCAGTGGATGTTTTTTTTTCCAACTCTGGCCTCACCTAAATGAATTTTGAGTAAGAAAGAAAGCTTTTGACATAATCTACCCCCCTGGTACATTAGCACTTTTCTTAATGTATTTGTTAGTGAAGTTGGGCTGCTGTGTCAGCGTCTTGTAAAAATCCCTTCTTCTTTCACACCTCTCTTTCCCCTAAAGTAATAAATAATTATATTTCAAAGAAGTAGTATTTTTCATTTTGGATCCAATTAAAAGTCTCTTAACTCCTTAGAAGTCAGGTGTTCTGTGCTTCCAATTAAATGAATGGAAATCAGAGGACTCAATCCATTGAAGCTTTTGAAAGAAAGGAGGAAGTTTATCAGTATGGAAAGATGTTTAACTGACAGCAATTGCAAGGAAAGTTAAATTTTTACATAAATCTCAAAATGAAAGTATTGTTGAATATAAACTAACACAAATAAGCACTTACATTTATTAATAATTATTCTAAAAAGAAAGATACTAATTTTAGTCTCTTCCCTCTTTTTTTTTTTTTTTTTACACAGGGAGTTGAAGCCTGGTGAAGAAGTAACATGGAGATAAAAGCTGATGATGAAAAGGAAGACATTTTTGTTTGATTCATCATCTTCCCTCACATATTGAAAGAACAGGAATATGGTTTTTACCCTGAGAGGTTACTACAGTAAAGGACATCTGCAGTTCATCAGTGCTAGTTTAATTTCTGGTGTTACTTTTTGAAGTTGATTTAATTACATAATTAATATGTGTTCAGGAATTCCATTAGTCCATAAGCGTTGAAAAAATTTTCTTCTCTACTCTGGAAAGGAGAAGAAGAACTATAGAATAAACTATGCAAAAATCATTTATGTTGAATGTGGTGGTGTTCACAGGGGTCCAAGGACAAAGGAAGAGATGAGAATCTTGACTCCATGTTTCAGAAGGCTGATTTATTGTTTGGTGATATATATTATATTAAAAGAAAATTATATACTGAAACTTACTAAAAGAAGAAATGGTTTCATCAGAAGGCTTGAAAGGAATAGAAAGGAATGAATAATAAAATCTTGTGGCTGACCAGAGAGTCCAAGACAGCTGGACTGTGATTGGCCATTAATTAAAAACAACCACATGGGACCAATTAAAGATGCACCTCTTGCATTCCACAGCAGTAGATAATTATTGCTTTTCTTCTCCTCTGAGGCTTCTCAGGAGAAAAATCCTGGCAAAGGGATTTTTCAGAAAATGTCATGGCTACAGTTGTTATTGTTGTGTGTGGTGTGGAATGCATGTGTTTATAGCTATTTCATGAGCTAGCCTTTAAAGGAACACTTCTAGAATCCCAGAATGTGCTTGACAGCCACTGAACCTGGTTAAGTTTCTTTCTGGGTTTCTTCTGTAGGCTTGTTTGGAGTAGTGGTAAGCAGTTACTGCAGCTTTGTGAGCGGACCAGGAGGGTGTAAGGGGCTGGTGAGCAGGAGGAGCGGTGCCGGGCGCTGCTCCGCTCGGTGCGGGGAGGAGTGGCACCGGGGCCAGAGCCGGGATGAGCAGCACCGGGGCCGGTGCGGGGAGGAAGGAGCGGGCCGGCGGCGCGTGTCGCTGCCGCGCGGGGGCGCTGGCGGGCAGCAGCGGCGGCTCAGCCCGCCGGCCTCCTCCCCGGCAGGGGGCGCCAGCGCGGCGGCCGGGCCGGGCCGGGCGCAGCCAGCGGGGCCTGCCCTGCGCGGCGGGGGGGCGGTGGGCGCTGCGATTGGCCGGGCGGGTCACGTGCGGTGGGGGCTGCGGCCGCCACAGTAAACATGGAGTCGATCTTCCACGAGCGGGTGAGTGAGGGAGCGAGGGAGAGAGTGCGGGGTGACCGGGCGGGTCCCGCTGCCCGCCCGCCTTGGCTGTAGCGCCGTCGGTTGTGGCCGTCCGGGCCGCCGAGACGGGGGAGGCGCGCGAGCTCTCTTTGAGAAGCTGCTGGGGCGGTGCCCGGGCCTCCCGTCCCTGCGCTGAGCGCGGGGCAGCCCCCGGAGCCCCCGGGGTGCGCTCGGCCGGTGTCGGCCCGGGCCCCGCTGGCCCTCCCTGGCATCTCGAACCTTCGGCAGTGGCTTGTCCTCTGCCCCGGGGGAGAGCCGAGGCCCTGGCTCCCCGGTGCCTGTGCCTATGGCCCGTCCCGGCTGGACGCTGCCAGCCCTGCAGGGAAAGGAGAGCTCGGGCGTCCGCTTTAGCACGGGGTCTGTGTTCTGGGGAGTGCAGAAACAGCCCCAGGTGTGGGGAGGTGTAGGCTGCAGCTCGTATGGCAGAGACATGAGTCCGAGGATGGGCAGGGCTGCCCCTGTGCTCTCAGAGCCGCCTCGTCACCCAGCCTGGCTTGGCTGTGCCTGTGTAACGAGCAGGGAGGGGCAGAGCCGCTGGAGAAATCGCAGTTCATACAGTGCGCTGCTGTGTGCCGAACAGCATTTCCTCTTTCGGAGGACGAATGCTGCTGTGAAATGCTGTGATTTATCCAGCTTTGCAAATATGACCTATTTCTGTTCTAATGCTGTTCAAATTGTAATTGGATTTGTCCTTGCACTTTGCCAGTGTCTTTTCAACTTTGTTGTGTTAATCTTACTACTAGTTCTGTTACTTTGTTTTGTTATGTGGGATTCCTTAAGAAGTCAAGTAAAATAGCTGTGCACCTTCCTTTAAAAAATTGCTGTTCTGAAACCCATAAAACCTGGGGAGTAGGTTTGGGTTTCAAAATTTGGCAAGTGTTGTAATGTTAAGTAGCTGCTGTTCAGAGGGTGAGTGTTGGATTTCAGCCGTGATGGCCTCTGCTTCAGTGACCTTCAGTGTGGCTTTGAAACCAGTTTAACAAAATGTACTCTTTTCTTACACGGCCTAGCTTATCACAGTACGAATTAACTTTTTATTGCTAAAAAGTTTCCTTTTAGAGAAATTACTATGTAAGCATGTAATACAACTAATTTTCAATGGTATTTTACTATCTCTCTGTTTCTAAACCAGTTTCATATACTTCTGGTGGGGAAGCCTGTGATTGTTGAGCAGGTTCTTCTGTCACAGTTTTGTCCAGCAGTAGGGATGTGCTCCCAGAGGGACAGAAGCTGCTGTTTGCTCATGAGTTCCTTGCTGCAGGGAGGGCATGAGCTGGAGGGGGAAGCCTGGCCGGACAGCCAGCGTAGCTTTGGGAACTCATTGCTCAACAGAGTGATGAAGCCATAAGAAGATTCTGGAGTAAAGGGAACTTTCGAGGTTTCAGCTGTAAGGGAGATCCTAGGAGAGCTCTGCATATGATTTGTTTGATGCTTTTATGGAATTTTAAACAATATTCTTCAAAGGCGTATTTTTGTATTCTTAGCTTCTGTGGGTGTGGCTTGAGGGAGGTGTGTTTTGTTTTGAACGAAGAGCATGTGCAGGAGAGTTCTTAATGTAAATAAAATGAAGACTGATTAAAACAGAGAAAAGCAGCATTTTAAAACTGATGTTACTTGTCTTGCACATGGAGTTACTGTTATTTGTAGAAAAAGGTTGCTTTTCATGGGAAGCTGCTGTGGTTGGTTTACATTGTGGTTTTTTTAACGAGGCTGTATTTTATCTCATATGTGAAAATGATGGAGCCTATCATGCATTCATTCAGATCAGAGATTTTTTAAATTTTTACTACAAAACCATGGCTGACATTGTTAATTATCTCTTTTAAAATTTGTGCTGACATTTTAAAAATCTTACACTGTAGTTCTGTTACCTGTAATGTGCTGGATATGTAACAAAATATCTGAAATTGTTTTTTATTTGAATCACTATCAATTGGTCTATCAATAAAAAAAATTCATTGTTTAATATGCTGAATTTAATATTTTGTTTCCCCAACATTCTTTTCAAGATTTTCAGACTAGTGGTATGACCTTAATTTATCTACTTCCTATATGTAAATTTCAAGCAGAAAAGGAGCTTTATTGTTATCCAGCACCTAATCACTTTCTCAGCAATAACGTGGAGAGCAGATTGTCAGTAGCCACCCCTGGAAGAGAACAATAGTTAAAAAATATTGAGAGTGGCTGTTATAGCAAATGTTTGTTCTAGGAAGTAGAGATCTAAACTGTTTGATTTTCATGTATCGAGGTTTTGGAAGAAGATAGAATCCATTGTTCTGATGGTTGTAGAGTCTCTGTGTGATTTGCTGGGTCATTAGCAATATTAATGGTGTTTTCAGAAACAATTTTTACATGAAATTTGTTTCCCTTAAAGAAATAAGGTAGTATGGATGTTGGCTTTTCTCCAATCAAGTTGATGGGAGGATTGTATTCTATAGCTTGCAGTGTAATACATTGAAGGAGTGTATGGTGTTCTGCAGGAGTGGGGAGGGCAGAAGTTTGCCAGAGTGAAACAGATGAGTCTTTTTACAGAGTTTGCATTAACCTGGGGTGACTTTTTTTCTTTTTCTATTGTTTTTTTTTCTCTTCCATTATTAGCAAGAAGGCTCGTTGTGTGCTCAGCATTGTCTGAATAATTTGCTGCAAGGTGAATACTTTAGTCCTGTTGAGTTATCCTCTATTGCACAGCAATTGGATGAGGAAGAAAGGATGAGAATGGCAGAGGGAGGAGTATCTAGTGAAGAATACAGAACATTTTTACAGGTAAAATTATGTTCTTTTTAGGTTGCTTGATATTGCCTGAAATGAAATATTGTCTGGCACAGACCTATTCTTGCATAGCTAGACAAGGTTAATTTTCTAGTGCTAAAGCTTTTTAAATTTATAGGCCTTTTTATTCATGCATCTTAGATATGTCATTTTCAAATGTTACTAGTACAGCTTTACACTAATTCTACAAAAATCTACATTACCTTCATCTTACAAATAGGAAGATCAGGCATGATGAGGAGGATCAGTAATTTGCCTTTTGTTTTTGTAAGCCAGTGTCAGATAGGAACAGAAATTCCCATGTCTATCTGTCCTTTAAGCACTGAACATCTCTAAAGGTTTGAGTTTTAAATTAAAATGCCTATTTGGGGCATTGTAATCAGCCTTACAGATGAGGACATAAATCATTGCTTTAAGAATCTGCAGTTACATTTATTTTCACAGCTCAATTATTTTTGACCTTTTATGCTTATACCATTTTTCCCTTTTCTCCCTTCCAACTTCACATCGAGCAGCAGCCTTCTGTAAATATGGATGATAGTGGATTCTTCTCAATTCAAGTAAGCACAGCTCTCTTCTGACACCCTTTTCTGTTTATGCAATATATGTTCTTTTATGTAATTTAAATGGCATTGAGCTTTTCCATCTAGTTACCACTTTATGGCTTTAATGGGATTAAGTGCTGGAGTTCCAAATGTTCAGAGTGTTTTCCTTTAAGAACAGTGACTTGCAGTTCTTCAGTTCATGGGCCTCAAATCCATGGGAGAAACATGGATTCAGGAGCTGTGAAATGGCACCTGCTGGCAATAAGCTTGAGTTCTAAGCTGTTTCTTGTGGGCACTTCAGGTGTAGACCTTGGCTCCCAGGTGAAAAAGCATAATTCAGATTGCTTTCTCAAATTATAGATTAGAAAGCCCTTGGCAATGGTTACAGGGTTATCAAAGTGATCTGAAGATTTTTCTTGGGTGTTTTTGGGTTTCTTAAGGCCATAGGGAAAGAGTAATTAATAATAAATACTTAAACCAGACCAACAGCAAAAAAAGTTTTGAACACCAAATTGGGGGTTTTGTCTAGATTAGAGCTCTAGGCATCTTTGGCTGTCTCCCAAGCTTTCAGTGGTACTTGTCAATGCTCCAGACTCCCTCAAGAGCTTCACTTCCCTACAGCCAAATGGGCTGGTTTTCTTTTTAACAAGAAAACATTAACAGTTTGGCTTTCCTGCTGTCTTTGGGCTGCTTCAGTAGCTGAAAAAAATGCTTCCTTGTTCTACTTTTTTGTCCTGTCATTGCTTTGTCATTTGAGGCACAGTTGGCTTGCTGAAAGGAATTAAAATTGTTAACTTAAAATTCTTACAGCCTTATTTCTTGTAGCTTTAAAGAGTTACTGTGAAAGAGTTGGTGCTCAGATCAGTAAACTGACTGATCCTGTGATAATCCAGTGGTACAAAATTCCCTACAGTTACTGTGAAGAAAGATTGAGATGGTATTGGGGGGAGGGGGAAGTAAGGAGAGAGCAGTGCATTGCAAGTAGAGAGATGATAACTACCCAAGTGTCTGTGGAAGGTGGAATGGCAGCTTTGTTTAGAGGAGTATGCTCATTAACCAGCTGAATTAAATCCTGGTTTTGTTACTTCTCCTTAGATAAGATGTGAGTGTTATGCTTGCACGGGGATTCATGACAGCTGCATTTTGAGTAATGTGATTCCTAGGTTTCCTGGCAATGTTTCAAATTAATTTTTATGAAAACAGTATAATTATTTAGCATAGCTAAGATAGTTGCATTGCTTGAATTTAGATTTGAACTAGTCTGACTCATGAAAAGTGTTCTTTTTTGACAGGTTATAAGCAATGCCTTGAAAGTGTGGGGTTTAGAACTAATCCTCTTCAACAGCCCAGAGTACCAGAGACTTGGGATTGATCCTATGTAAGACTCTTTTAGCACCTTGCTTTTATTTTACTGTACAAATACTTTTTGTATTTTATATTTTAAATCTTTTAAATGGCTGTTCTATGCTCTGTTGCATTTTGATGTTTGTATTGCCCCTGGCTTTGATTCTTTTTCCTATTTTTTTTTCTTTTTGGGGGTGCATGAGAACATCTGTCCTCTGTGCCTTCATGATATTTTAGTATCTGTGGCATCACAGATATATGGAGATTTCAGTGATATTGACAACTTCCTGAATGTTATAAAAGCAGTATGAGTATTCTGTAATGTAGCATCAATAGTTGTATTACTGAAACTTTATTGTATTTAAGTTCGAATTAGTGATAGCAAAGATCTTAAACATTATTATGTACTCTGATTTAAGAGTATTTAATTTTATTTATATCTTTTGTTTTTCTTTTTACAGAAATGAAAAATCATTTATTTGTAATTATAAGGAACACTGGTTTACAGTTCGAAAGTTAGGAAAACAGGTGACACTGTCTTTTTTTATTTTAAAATTAACTTCAGAAATGGGTGTGGAGAAATGGTTGCAAGTAGTTTGTCCTTCCCTTTTGCAAGCTTTTGCTGCAGTTTGGTTTAATAGTATCCCATATTAAAAAAAAGGTAAATGTTTGTTTTATCACAAAAATGCCAGGCAGGTCATTGTAAATATTAGCCTGGGAAAAACCTGTAGGATCAATTCCCTAGTGAATGTCCATTGGGGAGCTACAGCTCTGGTAGGTTCTTAGGTGCCTTCTTAAGCTATTTTCTTTTTTTTTTTTTTTTGTCTGCATGAAATACTGAAGAAAACTTATACTGGGGGTTCAGGGGGAGTAGGGAATCCTGAACAAAGATTAGGATCCCTACAGAATTCAAATTTCTTTTAATACAGTAAGATAGTGGCATTGTAAAATTATTTTGTATTTAAATGGGCAGTAGATATAAGAAAATATTCAAGTTTTTTATGGATAATAATGGATACTCAAAAGTACATATAAAAGTTTGTGAGCTTTTACACAACATGAGCAGATTTGGTGTTTGGTTTCTCAGGGTTTTTTTCAGAGAAAACATTCATGGAAAACAGGTTTAAGAGTCTAATAGTGGGACAGGAATCTGTTTGCCCATTTGGTTCCTTTTTGCAAGTTCTGTCTACTTATGTTGTCATCCAGATTTAAAAAAATAAAGAAAAATCACTTGTTAGTGAGAAAGCTAAACTGTACTGTTTGGCTTTAATTTAAAAGTATGGCTAATGTTTACAGGCATTTTTTGTTTATTTGCTATCAAAAAGGTTGTCTTTAAATTATGCTTATTAAGCAATGCAACCATGATGGGTGGAATTTTATGAGGCCATTCTAACCCAAGACATCCTAAGCTGGAGAGGGAATGCTTTTTTCCTCTTTTACCTGTGGCTTGAAACCACATGAAGACAGTACTAGGGGTCTGTTATCTAGAGAGTAATGAGAACATTTGGCAAAATAGGTTGCTTCTCTTCTGTTGCAGTTAAAGCAAAATTAGTTTAACAAAATTTTCTCCTCCATAATGTCTTTTAGAAGTTGCTGTAGTCTGTCCATCAAATTTTTTACAGAACTTTTTATTCCCCTGCTCTTCTACACTGTTGGTCTTTTTACCCTTTGCTAGTGGCAAGGAGTGTTTTTGGCAAATGCAGTGATTGCATGACAGGGTGGTAGAGAGTCACTTGTATTGTTGTATGGGCCTGGCTGCAGCTGTGTGGATGCATATATGAAAGTTTGGGTAGATCAGTGCATTTCTGTGAGAATGGAGATAAAATTCTCCTTCCACTAAGTCAAATGGTGCTTTCTGGTTAAAACCGTCTAATACTGAATGAGTAGGTCTAAAAAAAGTTTTTTAGCTACATTGGAATTATATATGGAGGCTTAATGGTAGAGTATTTTGTTACACATTGAATACATTTTTTCTCTAGAAGTTTGATGTAAGTTTTATGTAAATAAGTAATACTGTTTCTGTTTAGAAGTATTATAAATTACTACTTATGGTCTTTGGGTAACTAGAAATGAGTTGTGTATGTTTATGTGAAGGTGTTCCCTGTTATAATACAGTGCTGTACTCTCAGAATACTAAATTTGAGTAATTTTTTTGTTAATTTAAGTTTAAAAATTATCCGAGAGAAGGGTAAACACTACTTTTCAGCATCACTAGCTATTAAAGATGGAATGTTCCATGAAAGTATTTAATTGAAATAATTGAATGTCTGTTTTCTGTATCTATTTCTTAACACACAGCATTAACTGATGACGGATTTCTTACTGCATTAGTCTCAGGTTTAAAACTAGGATTAAGCAGAATTTTAGAATGATGTCTGAAATAAATCAAAATACAGTGGTTAAAGATTACCTGGTTTAATGTGTTTCCCTGGTACCAGTATTCAATAATGTGAGAGAGCATGCAGTAATTTCCACACTTCAGATGTCCTGTTAGAGTATTTGAAGGACAGTGTTTAGCAGTAAAGGTATTATGCTTGAAAACACTTTAATTTGATAATTTATTTTACTATATTTATTTGAATATTCCATAATAAAAAATTACCATAATGTACAGGAATGGATTACCAAGGAATCTTCATGCTAATTTGTTCTCTCAACCTTTTTTTTTTTTCTTAATTACAGTGGTTTAACTTGAACTCTCTCTTGATGGGTCCAGAACTAATATCAGATACATATCTTGCACTTTTCTTGGCTCAATTACAACAGGAAGGTAATAGTAACTTACAGATGTTAAATCTCATTAATTAAAAGTAGGTAATAATCATTATTTCTTAAAGCTTATGTATTCAGTTAACTACCCTTAGTTTTATGATTGAAAGAGTGAAATAACCCAAGTCCTTATAATAAAAGGTAGAGTCTTACATTTTAAATTGCACACTATTGTATTCCATATAGTGTGCATTTTAGAGTGCTTGTATCTGAACTTTAGTGCTGTAGACTTACATTTTATTTTTTTCAGGTTATTCCATATTTGTAGTAAAAGGTGACCTGCCAGACTGTGAGGCTGATCAGCTGCTGCAGATGATTCGGGTACAGCAGATGCAGCGACCAAAACTGATTGGAGAAGAGGCAGCACAGTCAAGAGATCAGAGGTAAGGTAAATAAAGATTTTATTTTAATCATGTTCAGTGTGATTGGTTTGTAATTTGGAAGTAACAAGAAGTACCTTTAGTTCAATGTGCACTGCTGTTGCACACATGAAAATCAATTTGATGGGCAGCAAATGGTGTATTTTTAAGTGGGCAAAAGCTGGCTTGATGGGAATTGAGTCTTTCCATGTGCATAAGCATATCATAGTGCAGATTTTTGACTTAGGGAGGAAAATGATGTAGCAAATCTTATAAACTATGGTTAATAGTAATTCTTTTTTAATTAAGACTGGTTTGTGCATTCTGTCATAAGTAGAAAAGAATGAGAAACTGGTATTTGAATTCCACATCATATAAATCATACAGCATTCCCTTTTGGAATAATTTTGCTGTAACGTTGTGGTGCTGCTCATTTTTGATGCATTCTGCTAACATAAAACATCCTTTAAAGCATATAAAATTAGTACTTGATGCACTTCTGCTATGATTCCACTGAATTTTCATAGTGAACAAATTGCATACTGATAAAAAGGCTTTAGGCTTCTCAGAGGAATTCATTGCTTTTTTCCCCTTTGTAAAGTTAAACTGCTGTTGTAAATTGATGGAAAAATTAGCAGTAACATGGAAAGTGGGTACAGTTTACATGGGTTATTTTGCTTTAGTGTGGCCTTCAAGGCCTCCTGAGGAGGAGACCATATGCTCTCTTTTCTGCTGGTGGTTTGAATAACATGCACTAGGTTTGAAACATAGCACTAGGTTTGAATAACATGTATCATGGCTTTTTGTGGGCTTATCATTTTTGACAATTTACTATCTTAACAGCTTCTTGTCAACATGTGCATTGCTTTAGAGGTCAGTGTGTGGCAAATATATGTTATTTTGTGCTTTTTCATTTTTCAGGAAAATACTTGTTTATGTAACAGACTTTCACAAGAAAAATGTTTTTCCCAAAGTTAAACCTAGAGTTAAATTGGTAGAATGTACTAATTTAAACCTCATGATAAAAGGTAATATAATTTCTGTCTGACTTTTGCTATGAATGTATGAATTTCACAGGCTATCCCGAGGTGATGTGGACCAAGCAATAGAAGTTAACCATCCTTTTGATGGAACAGGCATGTTAGATGAAGATGAAGAGAATTTTCAGAGAGCCCTGGCTCTAAGCAGGCAGGAAATTGATATGGAGGATGAAGAGGCTGATCTTCGCAGAGCCATCCAGCTCAGCATGCAAGGTGCAGTGCTCATCTCAATTTCTTACAGTGCTTTAAGCAGCTCCCGGAGTCAGTTTGTCAGGCAGTTTTTCCAGCATGTGTCACCATCTCTGGAAAGACTGGTTTGAGGCATGGAAGGACAATCCAGGATTGCATGTAACTATCTCCCTCCTGCTTTTTAAAAAATTGTCACTTGGATGTTGTCATTGGTTATTAGGAAGGAAGAACAAATTGGCAAAGGGTAGGAGGAAAGGGAAACAGTCCTAAGGTGAGGAGAAGAGAAATTATCAAGCAAAGTTCTTCTAGGTGCTTAGATCTCAAAAAAGTCTTTCTTCTTCTCAAGTTTGAGGACATTTTTTAAGTTATATTTTATTGACTAACTTCATTTTACTATAATGAGTAGGATCTGGCATGTTCTGCTTTCAGGCAGCCGTCGCAGTGAGCTCTCAGGCTCATCACCACAGAATGTGCCTCAGCCGTCTCACAGCAGCCAGACAGAGTCCCTTTCCTCAGAAGAGCTGCGAAGGAGAAGACAAGCATATTTTGAAAAGTAAAGTAGCTGATAGAAAACTGCATGTGGAAGTACATGTATTTTTCAGTGCTTTTGGGGTGTGGATGTGTTTCTTACTGAGGTCCAGCTCAAATTTTCTGTCTTAATATGATTTCCTAACAGTACCTGTATTTTACTCTTCTCAGGTGGTTCCTACAGAGAAACCTTTAGTAAAAGTGTTTGTTAATAATGCAGTAGTCTTGTTATTACTGCAAGTCTTGTGAAGAAAGAAAAGAAAACATTATAGGAGTATTTTAAATGAAATCCTATACATTTCTGAAACTACCTTCTCAACAAAAAGTATTATTTCTCTAAGACTTTGCTTTGGGTAATGATGCTTCTCATGTGCATCACATAAAAGCATTGTACACATTTTATGTTACTGTTCTGGTGTATCTTCTTAATAGATAGTTGAGCTATTGTAGCTTTTCCTTATCTCTGTCTTACAGTAATAGAGGAAATAAAGACCAGGGAGAAATGCTGTGGATGGGAGGAGTTAGACTTCACATGGTAGGATAAGAATGCAGAGCTACCAAATCCTGGGAAAATAGTCTTGTGGCTTGGAATATAATACTGGGAAGATTATGCCTGAAGGGTAACAGGGTGAAATGATGAAAGAGATTTTGGGCACAGGGGTGTTATCGTACCAAACAGCTTCTACTTCTGATGTGACTCATGTCTCATACTGATGTTAATCTTATTCTCTTACAAATTTATGAAACTTTCAGACAGCAACAACAGCTACAGCAGCAAAATCAGACTCCAAACCTACAGGACAAAGCAACTCTCAGTTCAAGCACTTCAGAATCTGGCACAGGTATTGTTTTTTAACCTTTGATTCAACACTGAAATGTGTCTTCTTCATCTTTGTGTTGTTTGTTAATTTTCCTTCCCTGCCTGCTTTGCACTTGAGCAGCCATTCAGATTGTGTATTACAGCCATTACTGTATTGGCAGTGAAGGAAAGGATCACTTTCCTGAAAAGCCTGTTTCCCTTTGAATGTCAATATCCCATTTCAAATTGCTATTACCCCAACTGTTTGTTTTCTAAATTAATTTTAAAGTTATGTAACAACTTGCAATAGTATCTGACAAAATTACTGGAACCAGTTTAGAGAAGACCATGTGTAGACCTTACCAGTGGCAGGTATTGGTGATCCAAAACTGGTGTATATTGTTACAAACTGACTTTTGGTGAAAAACTGTTCGCAAAATGTTCAGTGACTTTGAAAACAAAACCAGTTTTGTCAGTGGGGTAGGAAAAGGTGGGTGTGGACGAAAATAACAAAAGCATTTAACTGTAATTAAGAACTGTGAATTTATTACAGCTTGTATGCATGTATTGTCTTTAGGAGGAGATATGAGTGAAGAAGACATGCTTCAAGCAGCCATGAATATGTCTCTGGAGTCTGTCAGAAACCACTTGAATTCAGAAGAGGAGAAATAACCTCATTTTTTCCCTCTTATTGTCAAAACGCTAAGTCTCCATTAAAATTCTACTGTGTGGATGTTGCACAAGCAGGGTTCATTTCAGAGTTCTGGAAGCAGGAATGAAAGGGGGCTGCTGGAGGTCAGTTTAGAGAGGATCTGCAAATACAAAAAAGATTGCACTAATTCAGAGAACTGTAGCACTCCTACAAAACATCTGCTCACAAGAGTAGTGTGTTAAAATTACTGGAACCATTCACACAAAGTTAGACAAGGGTAGCAGCTGTAACTTCAAAAAGTAAAGCTTTTAAAGCTTGCATTAAAAAAGCAAGTTTAAATTGTTTTGAAGAATTCTATAGAAGATACAAATGGTGCTGAAAACAGCATCAAATTATTTTCTTCAGTACTAATGGAAAAACAGATACAAGTAATAAGTTATGCTCATAAATTATTTTTAATAGATCACTCTAAAATGGAGAGAGTAATTAAATTCCAGTTATCTTAAATAATTTATTTTGTGATTGTTTATTATGAACGACTTAACGTCAACTTTTTGATCCTGCTGTCCACTTTTGAAATGATCCATTCTGCAGGAGAAACAAGAACCCATAAATTTCATACTGTTCAATTCAAGGCAAAATTGTATTGTTGGCTATAATGTTACTCCTGAGTCTTCAGTGATTTCTGACTTTGTAACAATTTTTGGTTTTACTGTCAATTCCAATTGTACATTTTAGATCTGTGTTTAACATACTGTTTTTTAGCAGATAACTTGCCTTATTTGGCTTGGGGTTTTGTTGTTCTTGTTTCTTTTTAATTATTGTTTTCTTATGTTCTTTCTTGTTAAAGCCACTTTCTTTTTACTTCAAAAGCAGCATATACTCAATTGGGTTTAGCAGGTTTTCTTTTCTACTTCTTCCAGAGAATTTTCCTCTTCAAGCTCAACCTTTTATTCTGGCCTTTCAGTATGAAAGAGCTGGAACTGAGTGTAGGAGAAAGTAGGAGGGGATTTAGGTGCCATAAAGTCAGTGCCACACTCAAAGATGCACTCCTGCAATCTGAAATGACCCCTGTGCAAGTAGCTCTTTTAAGAATGAATATTTATGCCTGTGTGGATGTTCTTTCTGAAATGCTTTCCATGAGTGTCTGTCAGAATGTTGCAGTTTTTTCAGGAATGGCCTTTATTCACGCACCTTACAATTTTTTATTACGTTGTTTCTGATCCTGAGAAAAATTGGGAAGCAAAGTATGTGAGATGGCTTATGCTACTGGTTGTAAGACATTTGCTTTGATATCCAGGATGAATGTGTAACAGGGTGACCAAACCTGACCTTGAACTTCAGTGCAACAAAAGAGAGATGTTTCATTTTCCTAAATGGTGCTTGAAATACAAATTCTGTTTACATATAAATTATATGGAAATATGTTGTAGATAGATAGAGTATATAAGCTGTAGTCCAGTTAAAGCATTAACAGTTAGCACAGGCATTCTAAGAATCTTTCAAAGATAACCCCAAATTTCTTTATCAAAAAATTCTCAAGTTACATCTTTGCACAATAGTAACAATTAAAATTAGTAGGAAATGAATGGTAGCTAGATGGATATACACATTCAGCATCAAGTAGTACTGTACATGAAAGGGCTCTTACCTCTCAGTAAAGATTTGTTTACAGCAATGGTTTCCTGATAGCTTGGGATATTAATATAGTATGCATAGTTGAGCTAAATTCTGTTTTTCTTATCTATGTGCTGGATTTTCACCAATGTCACCAGAACCACTGGTATGTGTTACACAATTTGGATTTTGAGATGAGACAGCACTACTTTTTAAAAACTGATTTTTGTATTTTTAAAATAATCCTGTCATCCACATTACAATTATTTGTGATGTCTCAAATTAATATAGCTAAACAATTACTTTAAAAGTCCATGTATGCACATGCCATTTTGAAATGCTGTATTTTTCAGGGTGTGATTTTTTGCTTTCAGTTTGAAATTTCTATGAAACTGAAAGCAAGAAAGGTGTCTAAAGCACTGATTTTTTTTTTCTTGTCTGTCAATTAACCACAGCTTAATTTTCCTTTCTTGGTTGTGCCATAAACTAATTCAGAAATAAGACTCATTTTTATAAATAGATGTAGATTGGCAAGCTGATGCCAGTATTTGGAACTCAGACCTTTTATTCTCTCTTATAAGAACATAATAAAAATATTATTTCTAGCTCTAGCAGCCCTATATTTAAAAAAAAAAAAAACCAACAAAAATTCAGCCCCTTAAATCTCACTGACTGTAACCCAGGCCAACTACATGATTTTATAATCACTAAAATATGGAGGTTTGCCTTTGAACTTTCATGTCACATCATTAGTCACTTCATCACCCCAGTATTTTAATATGGAAGAAATATAAAATGTCGGTGCCTGAAAGGCACAGCTGAGTCAGTGATCACAGGGGCAACTATTTTCCTTTCTGTTGAGAAATGCTGTCAGTCAGCAAATACCAGTTTGATTTTTAGAGAAATGTCAAGTTGAATGATGTAGGCATATTGATTAGACAAGCAGGTACCAGAGAGCAATTTAAGCTACGTCTGTTAATTCATGTGATTTTGTCACTGAAAAGGACCTAAACCAGCCAGTCCACCACTAACTGTAATGTTCCCAAGCACCACAGCTGCACCTCTTGTAAACAGCTTCAGGGAGGGGGCTCAACCACTTGCCTGGGCAGCCTGTTCCAATGGTGGGCAACCTTTTCAGGGTAGAAACACTTCCTGATACCCAAACTGAACCTCCCCTGGTACAAACCGAGGCCATTTCCTCTCATCTTGTCACTTGTTACCTGGGAGCTGAGGCTGACCCCCACCACGCTACAACCTCCTTTTAGGGCTTGTAGGGAGTGACAGGGCCTCTGTTTGAACTGTACCCAAGGAAAAAACTCATACTAATTGCTGACAGTACATTTTTTATAACCCAGGTCTCAAGTTCAAAATGTCTGGGCCTGCCAAGAAGCTGTCAATAAACTGCTGTCATTTTTTGGTGTTCATTCTTTCAGTGATAAACAGTTATCAGTGTGACTTAACTATGCTTTTAATTTACTAATTTAGAGTGTACTTCTGGTGTTACCTACCCTGTCAAGCTGAAGGGTTGGGTTTTTTCCCATGTTATAGCTTTAGGCCAAAGTCCATTGTAAGGGAGCAGACATTGGTTTTTGTTGGTGGGTTGTTGGTTTTTTTTTTAATTATAGAATTATATTTGATGGAATTTCAGGCTTCATTCATTCAACAGAGTTTACTGTTTTCCAGTGAATGGTCCATATGACATAAGTTATGGTTTTGTGCCAGTAAAAATAAAAGGGGCAGGAGTAATACAATAGTCTTCCATAATTACTTCTCTGAGTATAATTCTACAAACTGCTTTCATGGTGTTACAGTGAAGGCAGGAGGAACAAGAGCTGTAATGCAGTCATGCTTGCATGCAGTTCTTGTTAGGCACAGCAAGTACAAATATGGGCTGTTTAAATGCTTACATTTTTCTAGAGCTGAAACTAATATATGATATGATATGATATGATATGATATGATATGATATGATATGATATGATATGATATGATATGATATGATATGATGCTGGCTTACTTTAAGATTTGGGCTTCCTGTGTCCTTCCAAGAACTGAAGCAAATATAAGTGTAGTTTTCAGCTAAGGTACTTTTCTGACTTGTCATACTTCATTACTTTGCAGACTACTTCAAAATAACCAATTCAAATGTAAATCTGTGATGTGTTTTAGTATTGGACTACTGCTTCTGTTACAAACTTACAGAATGGGGGGGATTAAAATGGCTTCTGCAGGTGTCTAGTAGACAAATATCATTTGCAGGCTGGTTTGTCTTATTAGAAAACTGACTGGCTTAAAAATTAACATGTTACAGTTCTAAAATGTGACATTTTCTAGTATTAATTGGTTCAAACAATAATAAAAACATAAAAACGGTGACCTTGTACAGAAAAATACAGTATATAGGGGAATAGGATCAGAGAATTAGAATTCAGGCTTACAAAGTAGTATTCTGCAGTTCACATTACCAGCACTTCACTCTTAAAGGAATTGAAATAAGAATCCAAGGAAGAGAATAACTGATGTGGAAACTTTTTAAGGGCTTAGGTAGAAAATTATGTTGTTTGCTTGGTAAGCCATTACTGTCTTGCATAGAACAAACTTAAGTCCTGGAAAATCTTGATAGTTATTTACAAATCATTAAAAAAAAAAAAAAGAAAATATGTCCAATATGTAATAAATACATACCTATTCCATGTACACAATCACTTGGTCAAGTGAGAACAATACTTAATACATTTAAACTGCCTGGGTCCAAATTCTTCTTCAGTTTAGAATTGGTAGCTTTGTCTTGTGTCTAGGTTTTCATCTTAAAAGCATGAGCTCTTCTGCAATAAATTGTTTTAATCCTCATACACACATTTTGCCTTATTTGCATTTCAGAGATGGAGGGAATGCTGGAGTATTTAACCTGCCATAGTCACCTTCTTCCCCAGTTACAGTTCTTCAGACAGTTAGTACGTGTGACTTTTCAACTGCTTTCATCAAATCAAAATACCTATATATTATTTTCCTTGTTAAGAAAAATAATTATAACTACACTTTTCTTTTAATCTCCCCCCATCCTCAGTGCAGCCACTGTGTGAATTCAGGAAGGAACTTCAGGAGGGAAAAAAGGGATGTAATACTTAAATGCCACTGTGCAAATGCAAAATGAAAAAAAAAAAGGAAGATACAAACTTTGATTTTGTCTTTAAAGCATGTAAGCTTTGGTAAAATGTTACTTTTTGCTACATGAAACCCCCTGTGTACAAATCACTGTAGAGTTAGGATTTTGTAAGGGAATAATTTTTCATCTCTTACCTAATAGTTGTGTATTTTAGAAATCATTTTCAGTAAGATTTTTTTTTGTCAAGACTGTTTTCATATCACATCTCTGGCTCTGGATTCCTGTATAATTTTGCCTATTTTGTGTATATAAAGCATAGAATACTGAAAAGATTTTAAAAGGGAAAGCTGAAATGCTTTGTCATTGTTTTGACTGGAAAATGGCAGCACTGTTCGATATTTTGAAAATGCTCTCCAAATAGGCATGAATATATATGGTTGTATTTGATATCACTTTTTTAAATAAATATGATTATAGCTTCTAATGTTTCTCTCAAGTATTTGCATATGTGCTTTCTCTTACGTGTGGATTGGGCACAGAATCATCAAACATTGAACTCTCATCCCTGGTGTCAGTGGGCTTTGCACCAGAGGTGTTTAGACAGAGCAGTGGGACAGTTTTCTGTTGCTGACATTTCATCTCTGAGTCTTTGCATCTGTTGGTACCCCAGAAGTTGAGTAAAGACACTCCTGTTAAGGAAGGAAGTTGGTGCCAGTTGTAGTTATGTTACATCTTTTAAAATTGTATGCTTTCTAATTTTTAAAGCTACAGTTTCCTGCTTTGCTGCCAGAATACTCATTCTTTTTGTGACACAATGCATTGCTCTTGTAGCTTAGTCAAAACAGAGTATACAGGATGATTTCCCTTACTAACAGTGGATGAAGTCAGTCAGCTAAAAAAAAATTACTTGCAATGCTAAATAGTTTCTAGTTTTGCAAGAGTAGTAATTAAAAAGAGCAGTACAAAAAGTCTTCTGTGCTACTTTATTGACTACATCCCTTACTTGGCATTATAAAATTTACCACCATGAAAGACATTTTTATCATCCCTAAATATTTTAAATGTCTGCAGGACATCGGTGATCTTAGTTGAAAAAATGCTGAATTTCCCATAAAAACTCTTTAGCCAAACTAAATGACACATCTTTACTGTCATGCATACAGCTTTGTTAAACCAATGATAAGGGGTCTTTTGAGTATTGTAATTTTCATCTCCATTAAAGCTAAAAGTGCAAATTAATAAAACTGATCAAGGTACATGCCTATATTTCATGCTATATCACAGCACTAGCACTTCCTACAATTCTGATGCCTTTTTTTTTAAGCCAGAAACAGATCTGAAGTGGTGCATGATTGGTTTTACTGTGGATAATCATAAGGGGGACAAGTATGCCCTTAGATTAATATACTGGTGAAATCTGTTACAAATCTGATAGAAAAACTGTTCCATGAAGAGAGACAAGTCTTTATTAGAGAAGTTTTAACTTCTAAACTCCTGGAGCACTTACCATGCCCAGCCTTAGCATTGCCCGTGAGTGGCAGAGGGCAGTAAAAGGTGATAGAGGATTGCAGGCCAACCCTGAACCCTCCACCAAGCTCTGCAAAATCCTGTTTGGGGAGCAACAAGCAGGTTCTTCCATGTCTGTCTGGAAATGTTTGCCAGCTTGTAACTCCACAGCCTGTGTTTTGTGCCTGCTGCATTCTCAGACTTCTAGAAAAATTTCACCTGTGAAATGCTCTTCTCAGCTTCATTTTGTTGTTGATGCGGTGCTTTAATTACACATCTTTTTATGTAGTCAACAATTTGAAATGGGCAGTGATCCAGCTGCCCCGTATCTTATGTCCAGCATTATGTATATGTATAAATACATATGTAAATATATAAATACATTTCCCTGTATTTATATCAGCATATCATTCGGATGGATACAAAACTGCTTTTTCTGTAACAGTGCAGTACTCCTTGTAGTCCCAAGTCTAAATACTTCACTTGATAAAAAACAGAAAGAACTTTCAATTGGAGCAGTTTTGAGGTTCTGCCTGGAAATACAACCAAGAATCACAGAATGGGTCAGGTTAGAAGGGACCACAGTGGATGATCTGCTCCAACCTCCCTGCTCAAGCAGGATCATCCTAGAGCAATGGCACCGAATTCAGACGAATCCCGAGTATCTCCAGTGAGGGAGCCTCCACAACCGCTCTGGGCAACCTGTTCCAGTGAGCAGTCACTGTACAGTAAACAAATTTTTCCTGATATTCAGGTGGATCTTCCTGTGCATTAGCTTCTGCCCGCTGCAGAAACCTCGTCCTGTTACTGGGCTCCAGCGGGAAGAGCCCGGACGCGGCCCCTCTCCCTGAGGTTCTGATAGACACCGACAGGGTCCCCTCAGTCCTCCCTTCCCATTGCATTCCATTCCACGTACATCCAAAGCAGCCGGGCCTCCAGGATCTTGTGTGTGTTGTGAGAACAAATACTCAAACACAAATCGTGCCTCATCTGGTGCACAGCGCACTGTTTTGCCCATGGCCCAGATCCACCCGGTCGGGCGAGTTCCCGATAATCACACGGCGCTCCACGCCGCTATCCCGGCATCCCCTGCTCCCGCCCACGCCATATCCGCCTCCGAGGCGGCGCTCTGGCCGGGCCGCCGCTCTCGATGGTGTTTGGGAGGGGTGTCATGGCGGCCGTTGAGGTGGCAGCGGCCGGAGCCGCCGGGAGGAGTCGCTGAGCCAGGACGGGACAAGACAAAACAAGACAAGCTGGGAGAAGCTGCTGAGCCGGAGGAGCTGGCAGGATGTGCACGGCTTTGACGGACGAGTTGCCGAGCCCGGTGTGCTGAGCTCGGAGCAGGAGCCGCGACCCGCAGTAGCGAGGAGCA